GAAAGTCAAATCACTGGCTGTGTTTGAACCTGGTGAGAGAGCCAAGCAGTATCATGGCGCACACGGACATGTAAAACTGCGATAAGGAAGGTATTAGGCGTGGATCTCAGTGATGAGACAACCTTGGATCGATATCGAGAGAAATTACTTTGGCTGTGCGATGGACCGCCAAAGGTAGCATTCCGCCAAACGGTTGTGTTTACAAGCCCAAACGAGAGATGGCTGAAGGAAGTAAGAAAAACACTTCGCACTTACTACATGCCTCCGTGGAGACTTGAAGAGCTGCAACTAGCTGCTTCCGTTCTGGAATACCCCATTAGTGATGATGAGATGGGAGAACGATTCTGGAATTTCGGTGGAGTGGCTCGCAATTGCTTTTTGCTTGAGCGAGAAGAGGTTGTGCTTACTATTCAAGATTTGACGAAACCGATCGAGCAGATTACTAACCGAGGACATCTCGAAAACCTGCTTACGAATAGGATAAACACTACCACGAACCACGATTTCTTGCATTACGAGCCCATTGATGATGGAAGGTTAGTAGAAACGAAGCTTGTGTCCGAAATGGTGTGCAAAAAGCTTTCGGAGCGTCTGCTGGGCGTAATAGAGGGCAGAATGAATGAAGTCAAGGGGTTGCTTGACGGCATACCCCCCGCTGCTTCGCTTAGAGGGTCGATGTTTGAAGCCAAAGCGCATGCAAAGCTTCGCGACGGACTGGAGTTGGAGGTATTGGAGTTGAAGGCACAAGGAGTGTCTACCGTCAATACGCGACAAAAACGGGAAACTTTTTACATTGAGCGGACCGATCCCGCTGATGACTTTGAGCACAGCGCGTTGTCTTCTTTGCTACTAAACAAAGGACCGTTCCATCAGCCGAAGTCAAAAACGATGGAGTCAATTGATGGATTCTACTTTCCAAAAACCCTTGTAAGTGGGAAAAGGAACCAGTCCACGGCGCTGTCGATGAATACGTCGAGCAACCGTATACTTTTCTTCCAAATGACGGTCTCCAAGACCCATCCCGTGCATGCTTTTGGAATCATTTACGTACTTGACCGACTTGGTTTGTTGGAGCTAGTCAGGACCAATCCCAAGCAAGCTGCGCTTGTCTTTATGGTTCCTCAATCTGGTATAAAGGACTTTGAACTACAGAATGTGATCTCTGATGAGGTGTCGCCACATTCGATCAAAGACATAAAAGGCATTGGACCTGCCACAGCGAGTACGCTTGCAGAGTACGGCATCAATACAGTCGACGAATTCAAGACAGCAGTGGATCCCTTTAAACAAGGAGAGATGGAGATGAAAGAGGAGAAACACGAATCCGATTGGATACGCGCCGTGAAGAGGTGGGAGACGCATAAAAAGCTGAATAAGGCCGAGAACATCACGATGGTGAAAAATATTCCCCAATATGTGGCGCCGTCTGATTAGCCGTCAAGGTCTGCTGCACCATTTTTTACTTTTTTTTTCTTATCAGAGGATCACCCAGAAAAACCATATAACCCCCAAAAATGCCAGAAAAAATTTGCATGTAACCAGTAGCAATCTATGGTACTTCAGAAGTATCTTGGAGGGTACACAAAGTTGGGACAACTTTCTGGTGGCACAAAATGGGAACACTGTATTTCCCGACATCATTTTATTAGTATACATAAATCGTGGCGTA